CTTCAGTTTTCAGGCCCCTCTTCTGTGGAACCAGCTTCCAGTTTGGATTCGGGAGACAGACACTATCTCTACTTTCAGACAGTTTCAAACTTTCCTTTTTGCTAAAGCATATAGTTAGAACTGGAGCAGGTGACCTTGAATCCTCCCTTAGTTATGCTGCAATAGGTGTAGGCTGCTGGGGGGTTCCCAGGATTAAATGTTTCTTGTTCACTTACCTTTTTTCACTCACTTTGTGTTTATTCACCTCTCTCCATATAATTGTTCTTATTTTCTGGCTCTCTTCCACAGTATGTTTTTTGTCCTGTTGCCCTCCCCCCAACCCCAGCCAGTTGTGGCAGATGACCGCCCTTTGCTGAGCCTGGTTCTGCTGGAGGTTTCTTCCTGTTAAAAGGGAGTTTTTCCTTCCCACTGTCACTAAAGTGCTTCCTCACAGGGGGTCATATGATTGTTGGGGTTTTCTCTCTATAAATATAAAGTCCCTTGATCTAATTGTTGTTGTGATTTCACACTATATAATTAAAATTAAAACTCAATATGCATGAAACAGAATACAAAGTATTCAAAGTATCAAGTAGCTCAACTTTTTGCAGTAATTTTAATCATTTTAATGCTGATATCAAACACTTTGTGCAGAATAATAGTTTTTACTTTTAAAACTTCATGCACAATTTTCCAGCAGTGAGGTGTTTTCATATTGTTTTAGTAGTTTTTTTCTTAAAGAAGAAATAAAGCACTTTTTTAAAAAACTCACTAAAACTCACTACTAGATTTCATTTGCTTCAGTTTTACACGTTTATCATGCCAATTTACTGGTCTGGCTCCCCTAAGATCAAAGTGGGGTGTATGTAGCTGATGATCTAAAATGAGTGTGACATTGCTGTCCTAAAGGAATGGTTTGAAAAACTTCTCCACCATTAACTGTCACTGACAGTAAATAATATTTGGTAATGAAGCAGATATTTAACTACAGAAGTAATAATAACTTTTTACAACTCTTCAGCCAGGAGGAAGCAGAAACATGAAGACGTCCAGGTACAGTGCAGACAGGCAGCACAAAGGGTATGTTTTAATGTCTTCGAGTTTATCTTGTTAAATTCTTATTACATATATATTTATATATGTATATGTTTGGGGGGCAGTTTTGCTTGGATTCATCTTTTTTTTTCCTGCCGCTATTATTTGTTGTTTTTTTTTTATTGTCAAGGTGCACGTGAATGTGGATTAGCAGCGCGGCTTAGCGCCAGGAACCTGTGGTTCCAGCTGAGGGAGAAACCACGAGTTAAAGGCCAAAAATGTTTCTGAGCTGCGCAGCTCGGTAGGACAGATTTTGCTTCCCGCGGTAAGAGTTTCTCAAAGCCTGGCGTTGATTAGGCGAACAAGAATTCAAAAGGTACTGATTATTTCTCTGCCCAAAGACATCCTCCAGTCCTTGCAAACTGTAAGCATGTATATTTTCACCTACTCTTTGCAGGTGTTTGTTAGTCAAGATTTTTCAAACAGTGGTTGAAATGTGATTTATTTGATCCTGAGTTACTGAAAACTTCCTGCAAACCTGGAGTGTTGGCACTCTGTATTTAATAACGATTTTTTTAAACTGTTGTTTTTTAGCTTGAAACCTCAGTTACATCTTGAAATCTGCAAGATACTCAAGTACATTTGTACAGCAAGCGTTACAGTGGTACAGGCAAGAAAAAGAGGCTAAAAATGCAAGAGTGGGCTTATAATGAAGGTGATTGTTTATAACTAAATGGCATGTCCCTTTTCCTCTATAATGAATTGTAACAGTTACAAGTAATTGCTGAAATAAAGTTAAACAATAAACTGGGATAAGTTTTCTTTTCAGCCTTACTGCATTTATGGCAGCAGTAGATCAAAATGTTTAGCTGGTTTTTTTTGGTTGGTTTTTGAGATCAATATGATTTTCTCAAAGTGTGACTCAAAGTCAGAACAAAGAAATACTTTTGGAACAGCACAGGTTATGAATGATGTCATATGATAGATATGATGTAAAAGTGTTCCCTCCTCTTCAGGGGGCTTATTGATCTTGTGTGTGAATGTTAACAGATTTTTTTTTTGAAGTCAAATAACACATCAGGCATAAAGCATACTAACCTAACAATGATCAGAATCAGAATCAGAATCAGAATACTTTATTGATCCCTGGGGGAAATTATTTTTTGTTACAGTGCTCCATTTTAAACCAACATTAAGACAAGACAGACAATACACTAACTAAGAATAGTACAATATATACATATATATACATACATACATACATAAGTCACTCATAAATAAATAAATAGTTGGAAAAGAAACATGTGTAGTTGTAGCAGCAAACAGTGTGTTAAGTGGATGCGTTGTACAGGGAGATGGCCACAGGCAGGAATGATTTCCTGTGTCGTTCAGTGGTGCTTTTCGGTAATCTCAGTCTCTCACTGAACGTGCTCCTGTGACTGACCAGCATGTCATGGAGTGGGTGGGAGGTGTTATCCAACATTGTCTTTATCTTGGACAGCATCCGCCTCTCCGACACCACCTTGAGGGAGTCCAGCTCCATCCCCACAACATTACTGGCCTTACGGATCAGTTTATTGAGTCTGTTGGCATCTGCGACCCTCAGCCTGCTCCCCCAGCATGCAACAGCATAGAGGATCGCACTGGCCACAACAGACTCATAGAAAATCCTCAGCATTTTCTGGCAGATGTTGAAGGACCTCAGTCGCCTCAAAAAATAGAGACGACTCTGGCCCTTCCTGTAAAGTGCTGTGGTGTTTTTAGCCCAGTCCAGTTTATTGTCAATGTGTACTCCAAGGTATTTATAGTCCTCCACAATGTCAACACTGACCCCCTGGATTGAAACAGGGGTCAAGTGTTTCCTGGTCTTCCTGAAGTCCACGATCAGTTCCTTGGTCTTTGCCACGTTGAGCTGCAGATGATTCTGCTCACACCACGTGACAAAGGAGTCGACCACAGCCCGGTACTCTGTCTCATCATCCCTGCTGATGCATCCAACCACCGCAGAGTCATCAGAAAACTTCTGAAGATGGCAGGTCTCTGTGCAGTGGCTGAAGTCTGTGGTGTAGAGGGTGAAGAGGAAGGAGGAGAGGACAGTCCCCTGTGGTGCCCCTGTGTTGCTGATCACCTTGTCAGACACACACTGTGGGAGACGTACATATTGTGGTCTTCCTGTCAGGTAATCAACAATCCAGGACACCAGAGAAGCATCCACCTGCATCGCTGCTAACTTATCACCCAGGAGGGTCGGCCTGATGGTGTTGAAAGCACTGGAAAAGTCAAAAAACATGACCCTCACAGTGCTCGCCGGCTGGTCCAGATGGGTGTAGACACAGATAGCAGCAGGTGAGACTATAAGAACAACAGGAAAAAGACTTCACCAGGTCCACTCTGCTAAAATCCAAATTACAGACCTTACACTGTAATTTTGCTTACAACCAGCAGGGGAAACTAATCTGGTTCACAAATGCTAGGATCAGAGTACTAGAGGAAAGAAATACATTAATTCCATTTTCCACATACCTGTGAGAAATAGGTCACAGGTACTATTTATAATTGAGCCATGATTGGTAGAGATGGGCGGACTGATCCAAATATCCATAGTTCCAGTTCCAGTCATGGTATTGCTATCGATATTGGTAATAGGATACTTTGTTTCTCTTCTAAGTTCAGTATTTTGACCACTAAAAGATAGCTCAAACATACAATATGAAAAATGTCTGAACCTATTTGTGTTGGTTGTCACATCTATTTTATCCATAGCCCGTAAAACATTTACATAAGTTTACCCACAGTGCTTTAGAGAAAGGCACATTTAAATTCCAGTTCTCCAAAAAAGCCCAGGTTCACGAAATACATGAAAAGCCCAAATATCTGCTTTCTTGTGTTTAAGTAGGATTAATGGGGATTAATTAGGATTGTTATGTTTAACAAAATTAGCGATTTAGTGGTCATTAAAATGTGTGCTCATAAATCATGACACACTGCTCTACCCTACATAAGCCATCTGTGGCGGGGCGTGGTAACAGAGAGACTGGACCTTCATCAGTTCTCACACCTCTCCTTCATAAGACCTGCCCTGAGGTTGTTGTTGTGTGTTTGAGGTTGGCAGCTGAAAAGCTGTGGCCAAGTGTGTTAGGACATCTAGCAACTGAATAAAAAGGGTAAAGTGTAAGCTATGTGGTTGGGTCCATCATTCTGTTACACCCTCTTTATAGGTTACAATTATTGGTATTATAATTAGCAGTACTGGCCCTGTTTTTACTTGGTGTAGGATCAGTATAAAAATTTGCAGTATTGCACTGAACTAGTCAGCCAGGGGAAGACTATCATGGATATCACTAATTTTGTTCTTCAGTGCACGTATCACTGTCCATCCTACAGAGAAGGTCTTATTAAATGAAAGTTAAAGCTTTGGCTAGTATGTAATTTTTATGTCAAAAATTAGTAAAATTATAGTTTATGCTGATTCTTCTCTCCTTTTTTATATGTTTGCTTGAAAATGTATGAAAACTATAAAAGTGTGAATGCTAATGCCACCACCATTTTTATATGACAAAAATAGTCATAATATAAACCTCTAATGAGGTTTTTACCTTCACCTCTGAGGAAAAAAAGAATTTCCTTAAAAAGTGAAAACTTTCTTAAAACTATAGCTTAGTGTTTAGAGCAACATGCACATTCTTACTGGCTTTCTTCATACATTAATCATTAAAGTCTTTGACAGAGTTGCTTCTTTTTACATACGGTCGCAGGTTTGAGTGGCTTTCAGGAGAAAGCATTATTGACAGAATAAGTGGAGGAGAGCTGTCATGTTCAAAATGCTAAAGCAGTATAGCTAGCAATAGCAGAGGATTTCAAACATCAAAGGTCAGAAATATTTCAGTCAGGAAACAAAGCTTTCATAATTAAGCCAGTACATTAACACTGTGAGCTACACAGTACATCTCAAAGATGTGCAGTAACACATTATTGATGTTTGTTTTTTCTGTTCTCTTTGTGTTTATATCCCACAGAGCTCAAAGTGAGGCCTGGGGAAGATTCCATTCTTCAGTGTCAGAGTCCCAGAGATGACGTCATCATCCTGCTGGAGTGGAGAAGATCTGATCTCAAGTCAGACACCTATGTGTTCTTCTTCCGAAACCAGCGTCCATATGAAAACTACCAGCATCAGTTCTTCAAAGGCCGAGTGGAGCTGAGAGATCCAACCATGAAGGACGGAGACGTTTCAGTGATTCTGAAGAACGTCAGCACCAGCGACACGGGAACATACGAGTGTGAGATTACAGTCAGGAACACAGAAGGTGTCGTGACTGAGACTAAGCACTCTGTCAACCTCACAGTCACCACCTCAGGTGAGTTTGTAGATAGATGTTCGACTCGCAGGGTCCGATCTGTGTGTGATTCTGTGTTTGTTTGTCAGGGTGTCAGCAGTGAACTACTCCCTAGCTTAGCCTCTTGATGGTGGGAAACTGCACAGTGAACTACAAGGTCATTTAAACTTATTGCACCAGCTCTGTCTGATAACTTGTTGCTTATTAGAGTCTGCATGGTGAACGTAGACATGGGGAGGACACAGTCCAGTGTACTTCTAGTGCCAGTGTCAAGCTCAGATACATGGGGAGGGTCAGGACATACAATATTTGACAAATCAAACGTGTAAATCATCGCAAATGAGCTTACCACACTGGATCAGTCTGGGTTAACACTGACTGCCCCTGGTGCTTTTGGCCAAAAGGGTGAAACTGTGCAACTGTTGGCCAAAGACAAAGGAAGAGATGAGGGGGATGGTGTGTTAGGAGGCAGTGAGAGAGAAGGAAAGGCAAGAGTGTGGAGATGAGTGTAGGGACTATGACAGGTAACGATAGAGAGTAGGGTGATATGATGGAGAGAAGGACGGTAGATATATTGTGTGGGTAGGAGACCAGGTGAAAGGAAAGCAAGGCCAGGTGCACTGGAGGTGGATTCAAACTTTTCTACTGTGGTGTAGTCAGAAAGAGAAATGGAGTACGGGCAATTATTAATTAAGAAGTTCAAAGGTCATCCAATGAGATGATTGAGAGTCATTTGTTCATTTCCTTAAAATAAATATGTTTAAGAAACTCAGGAGAAGAACAAAATAAATTCACCTTAGCTGCCATCACATGTGGGAGGCGAAAGAGTGTCAGATAGGACGAAGAGTTTGAAGTTGGAAACTGGAGCAAGTTGGGTGAAATGGAAGTAGCTTTTTGTTTTGAATCATGTTGTGTCAGTCGATAATAAATGCAGCTGCAGCAGTTTGAGAGAGAAAATAATACTTTCTGCAGCCAGTGTAGTCTTATGCTCCTGGATGCTGTTCTTTGCTCCTGTTAGCTGCTGAATATGCTGTAAAATTGTCAAGCAGATACAATCAATATATATTATTCTGATTGTTCTGCATTACTCCCAGCAGCTATATAACTGTTTGAAAATGTGAAAGATGAAACATTTTCAGCATACTCGGTGGTTAGACTCCTCACACCTGTTTTTACTCTGCAGGTTTCACAGATGAAGACACCAAGGATGGAGGAGACAAGGATGGAAGAGACAGGGATAAATTTCTTCCTGTCATAATTATTTTAGTTTTTGCTTTCCTTATAATAATTACTGTTATTTCCATACGTATCCACAGAAAACAGCATAGAAATTATATGTAGCTAACAGCAAAAGTTAAACAGCTGATATAAAATGCCTGAGGTCTGCGTACTCCTGAATGATTGGAGGTTCTGCTGTTCCATAAAGATGTGAATGTGTTTGAAAAGAGCAATTTTATTAGGACTGCATGCAGAATCTCGCTTTTTCAACTTTTAATCACAGATGAAACATTTCTGTGTTAATGATCAGAAAATATCAACAAGGCTGCTGTGGATAGCACTGCACACCTTGCACATTGTTTTATTTTATTTTGTTCAAGGCTTTCTATGCATGCCTGCTGTTAGATTACAAAAACAAATCTTAGTAGTTTAGAGTGTTAATATGAGTGATTTATTAAATAATTATACAGTATAAGTTATGGGACCCTCTAGGATCCATTTAACATATGAAAAACCCTGAAATCTAATGTAAATTTGGGTGACGGTTTTGACATTAAAGATCATGCTTTGGCACCCAGTCCAAAGTATGATTTTGCAAAAGATTTTTACTTCCAGGAAGTACCCCCCCCCCCCCCAAAAAAAAAAACCCAAACAAAACGAAACCAAAAAAAACCTCAGATAAGCTAATGAGGCAAATGGAGTGAGTGAGAATTGCATTGTGAAAACCTGTTAATGCCCTCTGAACCAGGACAAGCTGGCACCCACTACAGTTTAGACTGAGCAGTTCAGCAGCTATGAAATCTCCTACTAACCAATTAGTTCTCTGGAAAGTGGCGACACCATTCCAGGAAGATCTCTCAGATCTCTGAGGAGTACGACAAAGTATCAGGGCCACATTAAGAAAAACAAATTATTGTTCATTTTCAGAATAAAGTTTATATGCAAAGATTAAAGCTGTCATTTCAAGTCAAAAAACTGCCACAGCTGCTGTAGCCTCCACAAAATGCTATGTGTAGATCAGTAAGTGGAATGTCCTTCAGAAGGATACCAATGGTTACACCCTCGTGCACTGAAGAGGATGTATGTACAATCAAAACACTGCTGAACAGTGTCAACAGTACATACAGAAGGAATAGGAGCCTGGCAGAAGTTTAACTTGAAAGAACAACTGTAATCTCTACACTTTAATTATATTCTCAAAATGAACAATTTAAAAATATGTTTTCTTAATGTTGCCCTGATACTTTGTCAAATGGAAGGCGAGAGTAAGAAGGTCTGAAGAGTTTCAATAAGTGTCTGATGTCTTTGTGTTTCCCTGTTGACTTTCAGTATTGAATATAAATACTTAGATGCAAGTTAGTAGCTGTTGGCAGCAAAACAATTTTACAATTTCATTATTATAAAATCATCAATATCTTATTCTAAAACAGGACTCCTGTACTTGACCTCATATCAAACTTGTACATAGACTAAGCCTAATGTCTGTTTTTCTATTTAATCTTTACTCTCAAACACTTAAACAGCTGAAAGAATAAAAGCTAAAACTGTCAGGATCAGGTTAAGCCTGACTTTACTAAATCCAGTGAATGGAGCACAAACTGTGCGCGGTCATGGGAGTGTGTGTGTATTCATTTGGTGATTTATAAAATGTATACATGTTATTATACTTGATTCTTATTTGTAGAGTCACCAAACCAGGACTGTCATGGCTAATGTGTGGCTTAACAAGCTGCTGTAAATAAAAGAATCAGTGGAAACGTGGAGCTTCCAGACCATTTGAAGCTGACATCAAGAACATAATCTCCTCCTGGAAGTTTTAGTTTTTATCCTTTCAGATGCATTTTAAATATAACAACAACATTGTTGTTTTACATTTTAAATATAACAACAAAATTGAAATTCAAATTTGATATGAAGCCAGCAAGTACAGTGCAGGTGTCCGGTTTTTGATTGTTAAGAACAATAAAAAGGTGTAAAATTGTTTGCTGCAAAAAGAAAATGAAGATCAGGGAGTAAAGTTCTGCTTAAAAATTTAAATTCAGACCCTCCTACTCTCACCTGTGATGCTGATTTCGCACAGCATATGTTACCATGGCGATTTACCCCAGTAAGAAGCAAACTACCTGTGTAGTACAGAAAACCCAGAAGTTACTTGAATAAGCCAAAATCAGTGGTTTGTTGTGCATTGTTATTTCAGTCTTACACGTCTTTGTTAGTCAGTGGTTTGTTTGTTTGTCAGTGCATTGCTACCTTTGCCCAACAAACCCTTCTGACAAATACTGAATTAAAAGTGACAGCATTTATATGATGTATGTAGATATTTTATAAAAATCCCACAATCATGTGTTTTTGCATTTGACAGTTTAACTGAGCATCAAATCATATGTAAGATTAGAGTTGTGTGTCACAATGTAATGTATCATGAATCAAGCTATAATGTTCTGTATGTTTGTATGTTTGCGGGGTGATGATGTACAGACTTTTTATGTTTTGCTGTGATTGTTTTAATAAAGATGTTTATATTCTTTTATCTTTTGTACATTTGTCTTAAATTAATATGCATAAGAGTAAATTCTTTGTGTAGACCCACAGCTTACAGGACCTCCAGCAACCAGCTGTGTTCATCCAAGGTGTTCATCCAAAGAGACTACAGCTCAGGCACCATATGCAAGTTCCAGACCAAGTTCCCTTCAGAGCTTGAGTCAAGGGTATGTACAGAGTTAACCTCCATGCCATGGTTGTTTCCTGACTGCTTTAAGTTTATGTTTTTAAAACTGCTCCTGTGGTTTCAGATCGATGAGCAGCAGTTTGAGGAGACCATTCAGACGCTAAACAACCTGTATGCAGAAGCAGAAAAACTCGGGGGGAAGTCCTACCTGGAGGGCTGTCTGGCTAGCCTAACGGCCTACACCATCTTCCTCTGCATGGAAACACATTATGAAAAGGTAAAACAAAAAAAGGGTTCACATCAGAGTCTTATGTTATGGGTCACTGTACCTCAAATCATTGTGGAACTTCTGCTGAAGCATATCATATTTGGCTCAAAATTGTGTGTTTCAAGGCGTGACAATGTATATACATGTATATAGTGATTTCTGTGAGATTTTACCTTCATATATCAAATAGAACTATTTGAAAAATGTTCTGTCCACCTTTCAATTTTTGAGGCACGAATATCTCAGAATATTATCTATTAAAATAATGAACCCAAGTTTTCATTCCCCCCTCCCCCCTCCAAAGGCCAACTGTCTTGGAGTAGTTTTATAATATAGGTTGGGTTTAAAATGTACTAAGAGGTTTAACAACTTCACAAGTACAGATGTAATTTTTCTTGTGCATGAAAATAAATTTAGCAACACAATTAAGAGGGCATTAATAGCTTGTCTCATGCAACTGGTTGTTGTGTCTACACGCACTGGGTAGTCCGATTAAAGACCCTGACCTTAAACGCCTCTAACCCAAACCTAACCCTGATAACTGCCTCTCAGTGTATTTTAAACTTAACCTAAATTAAATGACTTCTCTAGGGCAACGTGCACACTTACAGAGTGACTATTAAAAAAAAAAAAAAAAAAAGATGGAATGACTCTTACATCGCCCTCTTTCTGTGCTCAGGTGTTAAAGAAGATTGCCAGATACATTAAGTGACTGTTAAAAAGCTAAAAATGGTGTCAAAGTTATAGGGGACAAACCTGATTTTGTCATTAAGGTCAAACTGTCTTCTTACCACATCTGCTCCTCACTCCTGGTGTTCAGTGGCTCATCAAGCCAACCCGTAACTGTCCCTGAGACAGTTCAATAAAGGTTTTTGTCTGTGAAGGTTCTCAGTTCACAAGCTCCTTTGAATAAAGGTTTTTATGTTTCTGTGTTAGATTCATGTATATTTTAGTTCATATATTTCTTGAAAAGGGTTAAAAATGTATTGAATAAGATAATAAAAAAAATGTAGCATTTATTAAAAACTTGCCTAAAATATGTAATTAAAAGAAATAAGATTTTGCTAAAAGTGGCATAAAATATAAAGTGCTGTTCGAGGTAGATTTTGATGGTCACATGCACCAGAATTTATCTGAGAGCACAACCATGGCATTGTGTGTCAGAACTAGACTATACAGAGCTACAGATACAGCTGAAAGTAATGTTACTCTGCATGTGGTCCAAGAGGCACACACAGCTGCACATACATGCTTTGCATTGGCAATTAAAGGAGATTTTCAGTAATATCCTTTATTTTTGCATTTTTGTGTTCAGTGTTGTATATGGCTGGGATTCCTGTTTGTGTTCAATAACACAATAATGATGTGTTCCAGGTTTCTGTGTTAGCCAATAAGTCACTTCCAGTGTTTATCTGTGTTTTTATGGCTAATGTATTTGCTTGTATTGGTAAATAGCCTGCAGTCAATATGAGTTATGAAGGGGTTACATTTAAAATACTTGCAGAACAAGTCGTTCCATTTATCTTTATAACTGTGTTACTTTACACACTCTGTCCTCTACATTATAATCAACCCAGTCCTTGCTGCCAATAACCAAACACATGTTTATCCAAACACATGTTTGGTTATTACAGTGTGTTGAAATTATTTGTTTGCTTTTCTTTAAGGAACTAAATCTGCATGGGATGTACTGCCAGTCAATAATATCATTTTATACATTTTGAACCTGAAATAAATAAATAAACGAAAATCTGTGCACAAGAACCATACAAATACCTGTTTATTTACAAAAAAGAAGTAATTATTTTTTGTTTTAATAAACAGTATTTTTTATAAAATGTTATTCTTTAATTTGTTATGCAGTACACAGCATCATGCTGAAAACTCAGAACTAGTTGAGCTGCTTGTTATCAGCAACTTTGTTTAAAATGTTTGTAATGACTGAGAGTAAAACAGGACACTCAAACTACAAATCAGTCAGTGCCAACATGTGTTGTTATGAAACATCATAAACTCTCATGGTTTTCTAAGAAATGGTTGAACTGCATTCCACACATGATGAGACAGGATTACATACTGTGTGTGTGTGTGTGTGTGTGTGTGTGTGTGTGTGTGTGTGTGTGTGTGTGTGTGTGTGTGTGAGAGAGAGAATGGTTGGATGACTGACTGAATGTGTAAAGTGCTTTGGGGTCCTTAGGGACCAAGTAAAGCACTATACAAATACAGGCCATTTAGCACCTCAGAAATCCACCTGTTAAACCTAAAGACTATTTATTTCAATAATTGTGACCATTTCATCACTTCTGGCTTGGCGCATGTGTGTGCACATATACATGGACTTGCACACATGCACAAAAGCCATCTCTTTCAGGGTGTAGCCTGTGAATGAGGCTGCTGGCTTTGGAAATGTGCTGACGCTGCTTTAGAAAAGGCTGCGGTGGCCCAGTATGGTTTCTGAAAGGCAGGCCTAGACTCCAAACTAAACCGCGTCTCTCTGCGTTTTTCAGGCAAGACCACTGCTAGAACGTGACGCACTGCTCCCAGAGGTCTTTTAAGGGTGGCTGCTTAAAGCAATCCCAATATAAACCTTCATTAATTAATATGCATGGCCAACAACTTTCCAGTGCACTACTTTCCGATACCAATAATTGATCAATTCTCCATCCTCCCTCTCTCATCCCCTGCTACTTGTTATTTTAAATATAACATTTTTTTTCTTTTGCATGTTTATGCAAAAGTTTATTTGGCTGAGAGCTGGTGCTCAAAATAATACGATCGTCATCGAAGTTAGTAAATCTTCAGTTTTCTAGTACACGGTCAATCAGTTGGTGCAGTATTGTCCGTTTCCTGTTCACTGCAATATTCATGTGCACAGCTGAATAGATGAAAGGTTTACAAAATAAAAAGGAAATGCCAGAACCGCTTAGTGTGGTGGACAGAAAAAGCTGAGTGTAGGCTCTGAGGAAGTTTCCCATTCACTGTAACAGGAAGGCATTGACTTGCTTTCTAGTATAAATCTTTGAAAGTGCTTAATGAAAGGAAATGTGAAGTAGAAGAGTGCATGCTAAAGGAGTTAGTTTCTTAAAATATCTTAGTGACTTATATTATGAGACCAGCTTCAAGTTGAACACAATGTTATCTCAAGAGAACAGGCATAAAGTAATATGGGCTGGTGTTCATATATTGCCTTACTGACCACTGAAAGCATTTTTGACTACAAGCCACATTTAACCACACATTTATGCAGTGCTTGATTCTAATTTTGTGCACTTCATGTCTGTCATGCTTGGCCAATTTAGAATTACCAAGTAAACTAACATTATCCTGGTAGTATGGTAGTAATTCTTAGATTTAAAGTCTCTCTGATTCTGACATGCAGCATGTCCAAAAAAATCACATCGCAGAACTAATATGCTAATGCAAAACTCAGTATTTTTATTTTTGAATTCTGTTAGAGTAACTTTGAATGATTCAAATCAAATTCAAATTGTATCTATTATTGTAAGGTCTACCTTACAATATAAAGTGTCTTGAGGTGACTGTTGTTGTGATTTGGCGCTGTATAAATAAAATTGAATTGAATTAAAATTCCAATATAATCCTCACTCATGTTTTACTGGCCCCTTATTTCAATCCCTCTCTGTTTAAGCCAGTTTTCTTCTAATTGAAGAGATTACACTAAAGATTTGAAGAGCTAATGGATGGGGCTAATGTGGGATTACTTGTACATACACTGTACAGTTTTAGAACACCCCAATTTTTCCAGTTATTTATTGCAATTCAAGTCATTCAAGTTCAGTGAATATCTTGAAGTGGTACACATTTAAGTGGTGAACTGCCAGAGGTTTAAAAAAAGAAAGGTAAGGTTACCCAAAACTGAAAAATAATGTACATTTCAGAATTATTAAAAAGGCCTTTTTCAGGGAACACAACATGGGTTAACAATTTAAAGCTGTTCTACAGCAATGGAGGTTGATCAAGCCTTGAAAGCTGGTGCTACTAATTCCTACAGGTGTTTCAACTTTTCTGGATTACTTACAACCCCGTGTCTGTATAAAAGCAGTGTTTGAACACACTTTGGTGAGCATCAGTTGAACAGTATTGTATTGCAGAAAGTGTGTTGCTACAAAAAGGAGAAAAAAGCAATTAACAATGGAAGAGAGACAGAGTATCATAAAACTTAGTTCAGAGTACCCAGCCTTCTTGGAGTTCCTGGGTGGGGTACTGGAGGGTGCTCCTCCTGGGGACTCTGTTGTCCTACTGAGAGACTTCAATGTTTACGTGGGCAATGAAAGATCTGAACCCGAGCAGTGTTTTGTTATTGGACTTCTGTGCAAACCACAGTTTGGCTATAACAAACACCATGTTCGAAGGGAGGTGAAGGGAGCCACCAAGTTGAAGAAAGAGTCCTACCGGGCTTGGTTAGTCTGTGGGACTCCGGAGGCAGCGGGCGGTGGCTGAAGCAAAACCTCGGGTGTGGGAAGAGTTCGGAGAAGCCATGGAAAAAGACTTACGGACTGCCTCGAAGAGATTCTGGCAAACCGTCAAGCGACTCAGGAGGGGAAAGCAGCGTTCTACCTGCACTGTGACTATTGCGGGTGGAGTGCTGCTGACTTCGACTGAGAAAATTTTCGGGCGGTGGAAGGAATAGTTGGAGGACCTCCTCAATCGCACCTGCACATCTTCTGTGGCGGAAGCAGAGTCTGGGGACGAAGGGGATGACCCAGCAATCTCTGGGGGCGAGGCCACTGAGGCAGTTAAACAACTCCTTGATGGCAGAGCCCCTGGGGTGGACGAGGTCCGCCCCAAGTTCCTGAAGGCTCTGGATGTTGTAGGGCTGTCTTGGTTGACACG